CAGTCTGATGCCGATCGACCAGTTTTCTAGATCTCTGGGTCACAATGCCAGGGGCTGCTGAATTGGAACAAAAAAAGCAGGCACAGTGGAGTTTTCTGGAGCTTGGGAGCCTGTGCGGGCCACTGTCCCTGCGCGGGCTGTGCCAGGCTGAGCCAGACCTTGCTGCGAGCTGCCAGGCTGAGCCAGGCCTTGCTGCGAGCTGTCTGGAGGAGCAGAGCGGCTCCTCAAGGCCGGTCTGCCCCACTTCCTCTCCTGCCAGCACAGGCCCACGTGTCCACAGGCCAGAGCTGCGGGGCAGAGCAGGGCAGGAAGGAGGCCAGGACAGGGCAGAGCTGGGCAGAGAAGCCTGTCACTGGGTCCTGAGGACTACTCACCATGGCCGGTGGAACTCAGCAGGGGCAGATCAGAAGAACCGACTCTGAGCCATCTGGGACCCTGGCAAAGACAACAGAGAGGCACCCACATCTTGGGCTTGGGGGCAGGCCTCTAGAATGCGAGGCCAGTCCGGGTTTGCCCTCTCTTGGGCACCTCCGCCTGCGGGCTGTGGCCACCTAAATGCCTCCTTTGCAGAGCCCTGGGACCGAGTGTGGACAACCCCCCAGTATACCCATGTGCCCTGCTGATCTCCACAGATCCAAGCTGCCTACAGCTGCGGCAGACCTCCATGCCCGCAGGAGCTCCTGCCCCCAGAGGTGCCGGGGTGGGCAGGGTGCTCAGAGGGGGCTTCCTGGAGGTGCCGGGGGTGGGCAGGGTGCGCGGAGGGGCTTCTGCCTCCTTGGAGGGTCCCTGGGCACAGTCTTGGTCAGCTCAGGTCAAGTGTAGTCGGCCAGCGGGAGGGCGTGAGTGGTCCCCAGCTTTGGTACACTGAGGAAACTGGAGGTGCCACTGGGTACTGTGGGTGGAGAGGCAGTAGCGGAGATTGATCCAAGAGTGGCCGTGCAGACAGACGCGAGAGGTACATGCTGAGGGGTGAGGAGAGTCAGGCTGGAGTGAGGAGTGGACAGATGGAGGGCTGGACAGTGTGGATGGATGGGAGGTGGAGGGAGGGTAGGTGTAGAGATGGAGGCCCAGGCTGGGTGCGTGGCGGGGGGATGGAGGCCCAGGCTGGGTGCGTGGCGGGGGGATGGA